CTCATTAATTTGCTGAAGCATGTTTGGAATGTCTAACTGCTAGGCGCATCCCTGCTCACAGTTAAGTGAATACAATCCTTTTTGTATGTTATAGAGAGTGTATACTGTGCTTCTAAGCTATTTATTTTGACTCTAAGACATTATGTATGTTTGTAATCTTACATAATTATATATAATAATAGAAATTTAATTATATAACTATTTTAGATCTTGCTGTGTTTTATTCAGATAATTTTTTTATCTGCAGTAGTATCAGGTGAATCACTAAAAGCATTGCAGCTGTTTATAATAAACATTATCTCTTATATGCCTAGGTGACTCACAGTATTCCTGCCTGCATTGGTAGCATGACAATTAATAGCAAACAACTGGACAACGAGAGTCCTGTCTCCATCTTTGCTGTGAATAAATGCTATGTAAAAGTGCAGGATGGTACTTTCTTTGATGGAAGTGGCTTTGCTGCTCTTGGTAAGTATCACTAAATGAAAATAGTACCTTACTGAATTAATGTTAATGAAAATGTACACTTTTTAGGTCTTGCTGGAACTGTGTGCAGTTAATTGACTCCTCACACAGCAAGTGCATGCCCTGCATGTGTATTTCTAACTGAGTCCTTTACATGCAAGTGGTCATTTCTGCAAAGGACTGTCTTCCCCAAATGAAAGAGCTAATGCTTTTAGCACTGGGAAAGAAATGAACTACCTCTTTCTTCAGCTAAGAATATCCATGTTCCTGATGTTAAGTCTGTAAAAGGGTATGGAGACAAAAGACTTGTGAAGTAACATGAAGGATTACATTTGTGCTCTTTACTGTTTCTTACAAATGAGACAGAATGTATTAAATCTGAATTAATAAAAAGCTCCACTTATTTGGGAATTTATTTTTTCCAGTATAAAATATGAATTATGACTTTGGAAAATTTACTTTCCAGAGGTTCTGCAAGGTCATATTCCAGCAGAATAATTAACAAGCTTTTTAGACCTTTTAATGCCGATCTATGTATTTTACTTTGTACTGTGGGTTACAAGTCTTCTGCTAGAAGCTTCTACCTTCTTTTCAGTCAGAGAAGGTTACAAAGTGCGGTCTGATGTGAACATCACACTGGAGTTCCGTACGACAGCGGTGCATGGTGTTCTTCTTGGGGTCAGCAGTGCTAAGGTTGATGCCATTGGACTGGAGATTGTACACGGCAAGGTAGGCTGCCCTGTGCTGGCACACTCATTTCACAAAGACTGCTTGAAACAGGGAGGCTAGAACTCTTGGAATGCACTAAATACATACCAGTGAAATGTGATGAAGGCAGCTTCCCACAGAATGAGTATGGGACATTTTCAGTCTCAAGGTTTCTCATTGCCATCATATGATAAAATGTGTAATGAGCAACAACAAAGACACTGAAACTTTTTTGATTTTTAATTAGTGTAATTTATATCAGTGTGCAGCCACTCTGACCTCCTGTACTATGTACCTTGTATCTTAGACCAAATATATATCTTTTTTGTAGCTTAATACTTTTTCTACCATAAAACTACACTTGTCCTTGAGAAACATTATTGCATGTACTAAGCACACTGTTTTGTAATCTCTTCTTCAATATTCATGAGCAATTAACTCATTCTCTACTTCTACTGGCCATATACTCCATAAACCTTTTAACAATCAATACACAGTTCTCCAGTCATGTCTCGCATAAAAAATGTATACTTGATTGCTCTTAAGTATTTTGTTTTCTCAGAAATAGCTCATTTTTTATTCAAAGCTTCCTAGCTAGAGACAGTGTTAAATACCACTGTTTCTGTGGGACATACTTTCTCAGTTAATATTTGCATATTAATCCTCACCACAGAGTTGGGGAAATGTCTACTGCTTTGAAAAATAAATACATGAAAAAAATCGATACGTGTATTGGCAATGACAAGCGCTTTCAGTTCACTCTTCTTTCTCTTCAATTAGATACAGTGAATCTTCTTTCAGGTCTGAAGTCTCAGGTTCTGTGAAAAATGTCTTGATTTGTATTTGTAAGAAACAATGAAAGCCCTAGTGAAGTATACCAAGCTAACCCAATAGACCATTGCATAGATAGATCTACGTCTTTTAGATTTTAAAGACACTTCAAAAAGGTTACACTCTGTCCATCAGAATAAACATTTACTTTGCATACTGCCAAACATTTAAAATGGAAGTCCCTATACTGGCATGATTGTGCTTTTATCTAGGCAAATTAGTTTATATATTCTTACTTTATATCTTTATTGGCATCTGGCTGTTGATGCAGGTTTTATTCCATGTCAACAATGGAGCTGGCAGAATAACAGCTTCATATGAACCAAGAGGCACAAATAATTTGTGTGATGGGAAATGGCACAAGCTTCAAGCAAACAAAAGCAAACATCACATTTCACTGATAATTGATGGGAATTTGGTTCAAACTGATAATCCCTACATCCAGTCCACATCTGCAGATACGAACAATCCCATTTACGTTGGAGGCTATCCTGGTAGGTACAATAATATTTCCCTTCCCTTCTGTCCCTCTTGCTCTCACTCTCACGAGAGTGACTCTTAACACGTGTTCCCTCCACCCCCACCGCACTTTGCCAGTGGAGTCTGAGATGGTGTACAGTTCAGCTGTTGCTTCATATTCTGCCAGTTTTGATTTTAACTTAAAAAACACCTGTATAGAATGGCTTTCTCCTCTGATTTCCCCTCTCATTTCCCATTGTCCCCTGGGACACAGTATTTCTGCAAACTCTGCACAAGTTACCCCAGTGCATGGCTTATGCTTGAAGGCAGCAGAGACTGTTCATGTTGGCATGTCCTAGATCGTCGAAACGTGAATAGAACTTGGTGCTCTTCAGGTGTTGGTTTTATCTCTCATTTTAGAGGGAGGAGAAGCAGTTTAATAACCTGGATCTTTGTATTGTTTCTGTTCACTGGAAATAGATTCTATGTATTTCATGGTTTTTTTTCAGCTGACGTGAAGCAAAACTGCCTCACGAGCAAGAGCTCATTCCGTGGCTGTTTGAGGAACCTTGTTTTGACCAAGAGCCAACATGCAGAATTGTTTGACTTTAGCAGAGCTTTTGACCTCCGTGGAGTCTTTCCTCATTCCTGCCCTGGGGTTGAGCACTGAACTGTAGCAAAGCCCGTCTGGAGAGAGGTTTTTTTTTGTTGATCTGTTATTTTGCATTCTCATTTTGTAATGAAAAGAATTGGTGAGAGCCTGCATCTCTTTGATTTTTCTGGTTGTTTTCCAACTCAGGTCATTTTTTTTTTTTTTTAATCAGCTCTATGTCTACATTTTAACTAAAAGGTTTTAAACAACAGATACCTCTACCACAATGTAATGGCATTAATTGCATATTTTTCTCTTGGGAATTTTTATTAATCAGTGTTTACAGTATGTTTTCTTTTGATTACTTGACAGTATTTCATTTTATTGTGTGTTGTTTGTTTTATAAAAAGGTAATTATTTTGGACCACCAAATAAAACTACAATAAACTGTGCATTATTTCATGTAGTTCAGTTGTCCATACATTTCAGTCAGAAGAAAAAGAACCGACAGGCTAAGAAGTGACAAATGTGCCCACAGCAGGGAGGCTGGAACTAGATGATTTTTAAGGTCCCTTCCAACCCAGGCCATTCTATGATTCTGATGCAAGAAGTGTTAAGTGCATAAAGTCCAGCAGAGGGAGCAGGAGACTGATTAAAGGCGTAATTTTGAAGGTCTCAAATTCAGAGTCTAATCAGTAGAATTTTCTACATTATACTTTATATGGTAGCTCCAGTTTCTTTTCCTTCTGCCTTTAAAATCCAGTGCTTCTGACCCTCATTATAGATACATTATAGATATATTATAGATAAATCTAGGAGGATTTATGTAGCTCTTTATACTTTCATGTAATCAGCTTCAGGACAAGGAGCAACTCCATAGCACAGAGACAAGCATGAAGTGTTGTGTTGGTGAAGAAACAATATGGGTCTGACTTGGGAAATACCAGGCATTTTTGCAACTAGAACTAATGCATCTTTCTTTGGAAAACTGTATTTCCTACAGGACACAGGGAGGCACTTTTGGTGCTCTGCAATTCCTAATTCACAGGCCAGTAAGCAGCTCTGCCTTTGCCTTTTCTTACTGTGCTTGCCTCTCTAAAATGAGTCTTCCAGTAGTTCCTTTTGATCCAGGTTTGAGGAACATGTGACTCAAGTAAAGACATTCATTCATCAACTGGACAGATCACTGAGCACTGGCAAACTTGTCTCATACTTTAATATACATCTATAATAAACATAGTTCTTTGCAAGTCACTTCCATCTCCTTTTTTTCCTCTTTGGACCAGCAGTATTTTTGCTTGCTCCTTACAATTTTGTTTGACTTTTACTATGCACTTTTACAATTTTTCTGGAGTTAGTTTTGCTCTATGTATTTCATACTAGTTAAAAAAATACTGTCTGAAAGGAAACCCCAAAGTGTTTTGCCATTGATTTCAATGAGGCAGGATTCCAAGTAGTGTCCTTTTGTACCCTGCATCAAGGCAGTCCAAGAGAAGAGCTCCTGGAGCGAAGAACTCCTCTACTTAAGCAAGGGTGGCAGAACACAGTCCTTTGTATAGCTAGCTGTACAGGTGCTGTAACAACACAGTTGCTTTTAAGACAGATTCACCACTGCTTTTTGTCATTTCTGTCCTCTGCTTCTATCTAAAAAAACCACATGTTTAGATTCGAAGAGCTTTCTTTGTTGGTATGCTTTTATTTTTGACATAGGTACAATACAGTGGACACACTCTGCTGTACAAATACACTTACATGTTGGTGTACTTCAACAAAACACAGAACATAATGAGGCTTGTAAGGGAAACACACACAAACACTTTGCTTTGATTAGTGGCATCGTATTATTTTCCAGAGAAGACACACATTAATAGAAAGCCATTGAAAAATAAAAATGAAACACAGTGTGTATCTGTTGTCTATTTAAACCCAAGATCATAAGGTTCACATTACAAGAAGTAATTTAGGCAACACAGTTTGGATAAAATTTCCTGAAATATGTATTTTAGTATATTTTTTTTTTTCATTTCAAATCTTGCCCCACAGAAAAAGACATTTTGTCAATGATAAGACTAGTGGAGAGGTGAAACTGAGAACAGAAAGTTCTTGAATAGTAAACCTCTAAGCCAAAATATTTTTCCTGGAAAATGCAGAGTGAGGTAGTTAATATTACACATGGACACAGACACATTTGCACACACTCACACATTCGAATGACATTAGCTGCATAAACAGGTTAGTGTATTCCAGTCTGTTTCCAAAGCCTACTTTTTACAATACTCTCTCTCTGTGTTGATATGCAAAATGCTTGTCTTTGTAGAACCATGGAGTACATAAATAAATGCTCAAAGCATCTTTGGAATTTGAATAAATTTCTCCCTGCTTGCTACCACTTTCTTATTAATAGCTTTCCACATATGTTGCTTTTTGTTAGGTGATAATCCGATTGTAACTTGGTTTTGACTTCAGCTGCTGTGAGGAGGAACAAAATTTCTCATGCCTCCACCAGCATCTTGAAATATAAGGCCTAAACTTGAGACCTCATATTTCAAAATGTCATTGAGATTGTTCCATTTGTCTGCAGCATATGAAATCAAGTTAGTGTACCACAACAATACAAAACAACTTAATGTAGAACAGTATTAAGCACAGTACACATGGGTCATTAGGTCCACTTGTATCACAAAAGAATTTTGACATTCTGTTTCAGAGACGGGAGGTATTTGGCCACGCTATAGTAGTCTGGGCACTGTACGTAGAATCTAGTTCATCTGGTAATATGCGTGTCTTATAAAGTTATAGGCAGTTTTAGCATAAAACAAATGCTCACAGGATGGATTTTATTACATCATATTTGACTTTTTAAGTTGTGAAGTGATATCAAGTCTTTCAAAAACCCACTGTATTCTGTATGGAATACATGGAGATCTATTTCAGAAATAACACTGATGAGGTTCAGAACATGCTGAGCAAATTACAGCATGAACACAGGGCTTCTCTGTAATTTCCCTTGCATGGCCATTGAGAACACAGTATGAAGTTAGTGGGCAAGATGGAGGAGGTCAGTGTATTTGTCTGAAAGTACTGTAGAAAGTTAGCTCATTTGCTATGACATTTCAAATGCTTTTGTTAATGTTTAGGCTTTCTGTATAGTCATAGAACCTCTTTTAATTGGCTATAAATACGGTGATGCTTAGCATTTCTATGATGCTCTTAGTATTCAAAGCACTTTCCACATAAAACACCTTTGCTAAGTTTATCCTTTCCAGATGGATGTTTGTAACTCCTCATTTGGTCAGGGAATTGTTTGACTGCATCTGAGAGTAGAATTTAACTCAACTAATTATCATGTTGCCTTTATATGGAAAGTACTCTTCCTGCTTTACAGCTGAAAGAAAAGGGCAGCATAAGTAGGAAGAGTTGTCCATTGCCACAGGGTGAACTAAAGGGTATCGGGAGCAAAACACATGACAAAACATTTATGCTTAGTCCTATAAACAAACCACAGATCTACTATCTCTTGTATACTTATAAGAAATAGTTGTCAAAATAAGGAGTGTATTTTATAATACAACTGTCCTGGTCTTTTCCTGGCTGCAGCTATGTCTCCATTAGTGTTAAGAAGAAAAAGAAAGGGAAAAAAACAAAAACAGAAACAAAAAACCAAACAAAACATCAGGAAAGTTTAAAATGTCACTGTTTTAAAGAAAATGAAAGGATTATGTTGCTAAAATGTTATCATTTTTTATCGAGAAAGTAAGAAAGAAGACAGGATCTGCCCTCTGTAGACATTATTGTTGCTGGTAAAGTTATTAATTCAATGTTGATTTCTTTCACTGATCACTAACAAAGAAAGTTAACTACTGAACAACGTGATTAACTTAGCACATTCTAGAAGCCCTGCTTCTGGTTCAGGTCCTCACTGCACAGCTTCAGCAGAGCATCACAAGTTGCAGACTTCCTCTGCAGGACAGCATCCTTTATGTTCACCTGGAGGACTTGGTTCAGAACACTTTTACACTGCTACATGATAAACAGCTTCTGCCTTATCTGTGCATCCAGGTCAGGAACAAAACCCACTGCTCAGGCTGTGGGTGGATTCATTGTGCAATATCATCATCTTAATGATGGAGATACTGCAGTGCAGTTGAAGGTATTAATTCCCATTTTTTGCATACGACAAAGATGAAAAAAAGACTTGCTCCTTCCCAGAGATTTGTGATTTCCCAGCTCAACAAACATGCTTTAGTTCAGTAAAGTATAGCCCCAAAGGAGATGACTAGGGAAGAACAGTGCTTGCCCTTGTGACTAGCTACAAACTAGACACACTGTCTTACATTTCCAAGGCAGTTGCAGCACGTTGTTCTCTTGTCAGCCTGTGTTTTCTTAGACTGCATGTCATTCGTAAAAGGAGCTGCAATTTTCTGTGTATTTGTAAAACCCCTAGCATGACTGGGCCTAGTTTGGCTATTGTTTTGAAGACCTAATGTGTAAATTATTAAATCTCACTGCTCATTGGAAACTCTTTTTCTTCTCCATGTTGTATTATACAAGACCTGAACAAAGATCTCTCTTGTCAATCCAGCTGAATAGTATAAAAATTGCATACATATTAAAGCTAAAATAAACAAAATAAAAATAATTAGGTTACAAATAAGAAACTATAATATTTGACAGAAACAAGTGGTGACTGTAAGTGGCACCATTAACACATATCTTATAGTATGGCATTACACAAGACTTAATTCTGAGAGTATCAAGTAAAAGGCAGAGCCAGGGTCATATGCCCCTTCTTACCTAGCATTTATCTCCTGAAATTTGTGTGTGTGACAGAGGAAGGAAGGAGAGAATGGTTTGTGGCATTACAATTGCACACAGCTACATGATCCAGACGGACGATTCTGGAAGACTGGTAGTGATATGTAATACAGTGGTACACATTAGGCAGTATAGCTGTCTATACAGTAGTTCTTTCTCCTGCCTCCCACCCCCAGTATCAGGTACTCATGAAGAGTGACTGAGAGACAATTATTGCAGTAATGCACACTGTACAGGTTTACTTTCAGCAGAAAGGTTTGGTTTTGTCACACGGCTGTGTCTTGGCACTGCTGCATGTTGAGCTCCTGTCTTCCACATCTGACAGGTACCTTCTCTTCTTGAACGTCTCTGTGGTGCTTCTGTGCTACACTGCGGTAGGTAGTGTTTCATTCATCCTCTGATGCCACTGGATTATTTTCAAAAATCTGTGTTCTAACACCAGGTCAGGAAACGAACAACTTGTATGTGACAGGTTGTTTTCTGCACACCGTACCTTGGTCTGTCCTCCTCAATTCCTGGGCCAACTGGCACAAGTGTAATCCATATGAAAGTATAACTGATGTGATATTTTCCTGATGGTCAGAATCTGGAATACCAAAAGTAGTATGTGCTGACCATCAGTTGGACAGTACAGTAGGAAGGAATGATGTCCTGTAGCTACCGTTTTTTCTCTGCAAGAGCTTCTTAAAATGGCAGGCATCACTCTTGTCCATTTGGCTTTTGTCCAGTACACTGCAGCCTTCTGCTTCAGCTCGCTTTTGGTTTTATCACCCATTCTGCCTGAGGATTTGCACGGTAGACATCTAACATGTATGCATCTGGATCCAAGCAGTGCTGACCTGAAACAGAAATTAAAACCCATGAATTATAGGATGTTTTGAGCACATTGGGACAGAGCTTCGTTAAATGTCTTCGACTGTTTCTCTGACTTGCACATAGCAAGCCTAGTTTGGTGTGTCCAGCTAACATCTTGCCAGGACACACAGAGGGCCTGTGATAAATTTGCCAGTGATTTTATTCTGTGGGAATCATGAATGCACTTTCACTTCCAGGCAAGATGACCTGCATTACATTGAGTTATGGACATTTAGTTAAATGGTGAACAAATATGTTTTTTTAAGAAGCATTAAAAACACTCTTACTGTAAGTGCTAACGTTATGAGGCTTTTTATTTTTTTGAATTTACTAGGCTGGAATTACGACTCTCTGACTTTGTTGCTACACTATTTTTAAATGCTGAAAAGGTAGCTCTGTAAACAATGTGTTCCCGTCTAGATGGGATCTTGCAAAGAAATACAGGGATTATATCAAGGTTTTAGGCAGTTGCCATTTGGCTGGTTAAAATAAAAAAATAAATAAAAAAAATCCTCCTAAGGCTGTTTCAGGGTTTCATTAGGTGGTGATTGGGAAGTCCCTGCTGCCTTTGCCAGAATGAGGCATTTGGTGCCTCTTAATTGAGTAATAAGGCAATAAATTCTAGAGTTAAATTGATTTGTTGAACTATATTACATTTATGTGGGGTGATGAAGTCATTTAACTGGTGAGGTTACATTGCTGTGAGACAAAGGATTATGGTAAAATTTTTGTACAGTTACTTATAAGGTCACTGGGGTCTTAATGATTTTATTCAAGTGAAAGCAATATAAATGAATTAATGCCTAATCAGCTGACTAAGGTATCCTGAAGTATCTAGACTATAAAATAATTTTAAATGAAGATGCAAATTAAACATCCTGATTTTTTGAAAGAGCGTGGTGGGAATATTTGGGATTGTTTCATAAGGATTTTAGGATCTTCTTCTTTTTTAGCATCAGTTGGTCATCCTGTTAAGCCAGGCAAAAAAAAGTCACTAATCCAATTTAGCTTTGTGTGTCGTCAGTAATAAAGACTGCTTCTTGTTTGCTGCTGAAGTAAGTCTGTGATATTTGGTAATAACTTTACAAAAATTCTTCTGGGGTGAATCAAGAAGAAATAAGGAATAATCTAATCAGATAGTTGACAACAGAACATCCAGAATTTTGGTAGGAATAGAGAAAGAAGAGAGCCAGGATTGTGCAATATCAATTTTGACCTTCAGGCCAGAAACTTGTGGGGCAAGCCACTGTTGTTATTACAAGAAGTGGGACTGCATGAAACATAGAAGAAGACAAAAGCCCTACTGCAAAGAATTTGCTATCTAAATAAAGCACATGGATTACTATAAGTATAGAACACCCATAGGTACAGGGAGGTGAATTCTCAATTCTGTATTTTTTATTAGAGGGAGGTTAACACTTCAGTACACTGAGGAAGAAATAGGTCTTGGGAAAAGGCTTGACAACAAGGTGGAATGTGCTTGCAAGAGGAAGACTAAGGATCTCTTAACCACGAAAAAATGATGAGTTATGACAGAGGTAAGCAAAAGGTCAGATAAATTTGGCAAGACTGTAAGGGGTGCTCCTGTGGGGTGCCTCTCTAGTCATGCTGGAGTTGTAGTAAATCATGGCATTTGTTTTAACAGCTTTTGGGTCAGGCTCCTTTCCTCCAAATGCACTGGAGGGTAGGAGTGACCCAACTGTGTCAAAACAGTGCTGCCCTGAGGTGTTTTAGGAGGTTAAGGACATTCAGAATTAAATCTTCAAAAATGAGACCTACCTATATTTCCTCCAATTTCATGTAAACTTTGGATCTGGCCTCTCATATTCTGTGATGATCCACGGCTAGGATGGAAAAACAAACTTTCAGTGTGTATTTCTGTTATAACCACTGCCTTATCACCCACCATCTATGGTAAGCAGAAGTGTGATATTTTTTCCCCTGTGAACTGCCTTATCAAAAGCAGGACCTTCTACCAAATGGACCACTGCAGAATACTGAATCTGCTACAGAGGTAGATTACTGCATCACAGTTAACTAAACCTTCTATATTATTTATTTTATATTATATTTATTCAAAGAGCAAAATTATGTGGTAACATGGGAAGACTACAGAAAAGACTTCCAGATACAATTTACCATTTCCCATAACTGTTAATAATTATTACCTTTCAGAAATAAAAGCATTAAAGATTTATGGACAGGTGTAAGACAATTCTTTTGGGTTCTCTATGCAGCAAGTCTATAAAATATATGTTTAATGTACATTTTTAGTAGTGATGTAACAGAGGGCAGATTGATTCTGTATAGGAACCAATTATTAAATAAAATAAAAAGAATAAAATCAGAGGTTAAAATTTCTTTGACCAACATAACCATAAATTAGCAATTTTAAATTAGAAAAAGAGTTCTTGTAACACAATGAATCTTTGAAAAGGGAACAATCTGTTTATAGTTCTGACATTGTCATTCAGGAAAAACAAAATGTTCTGCTTTACCCACCTGTTTTCACAGTGGAATCGAGCCAGGATGTCTTTGGCTTTTGTTTGGCTGTTGAGCTGAATTGCCATAGAGACTTTTGAATGCAGTGGAGCATAAACTCTTATCACCCCCTCGGGTATGTCAGACTGCAGGTATGGGGGAAAAGTGACAGCTCCCTAAAATCGATATTCAATAGAGTAAGTCTAAGGCAAATATTGCTCTAGCTCCATTCAGAAGCAGTTCTGCAACTCTTTTCAGGTTGCTTGCAAAAATCAGTGTCCTGCACTCACTTGATTATTCAAAAGACATATTTACAGTCACACAAATGCAAATTTGTAGACGTAGTATAGCGAGATGCAACACAAAGGCCCAAACTCCTTGGTAAGTATCACATAAATGCATACAGAGTAAAGCCTTTGAATTGTAAGTTATTTCTGTTAACATTGTTCAGTGAGCCAACAGCTTACGTAAAAACATATAAAAATTATTAGAAATATCTGTTCTTCCTTTTAAAGATGAAATTCTCCTGAGGCATAAAAATCCAGTTCTCTGTTTCCGCTTCCTATAGCTTCAACTTGATTGAAATGTGTGTACAGTAAAATATCAAAGTACCATATGGCTTCTGTTAATTTGAAATTTGACCTTGTATAGGGTTCAAACAATCATCTATGATGCTTATGCGCTCTTCCATGATTAATGGTGGATAAATCAATTAGCAAGGTTTGCATTCCAGTTCTAATCCAGTTAATACCATGCTGAGCAGAACACAATAGTCTCTCCAGTCTCTGTCTCTGTGTAATTTAGAACATCTGAGACCTGGGGATTGTGTTAAGTGCTCTCAAAATTCAACTCAGTTATCCAAACAGAGTTTGCCTCCAATTTACCCTTCATATTTCAGCTACCTGCCACAGCTACCCTCGTTTTCATTAGATGTAAAGCCAATTACTACGATCAATGGACTTGTCTTCCTGAAAGTGCAATGACCGCAGTAATTGACTCTCCTCAGAGAGAGAGCCTTTCTGTGTTTGTTCCAGGCTGAATACAACTTTGCATCACAGTAGTCTACGTCACCAATTTAAACAAACACCTCTGTCTCCATTTGCAGTACCAGTGTGTCTCCTACCCACAGTATATATTGGTCAGTGCTGGCAAATAAATTCTCCAAAAAGCTGAATTAGCATGGATTCACAATTTATACATTACATTTATTTTTCTACTTTTTTCCTGTACATTCCCTTCTGCATTTTCTCTGTTGTCTGCACTAGGTGGCTCATTCTCTATTTCTTATAATCTCTTAATTTCACTCCTTCCTTATGTGTCTTTTCTTTTTTCTTCAAGACTGTTCTTCAGCAACTATAGAGTCCTTGACCATTTCTTTAATTACTTCTCTTACAGTTCACCAATTTTCATTTATTTAAACATCCATGGAGGACCCTAAAGACTTTCTCTCCAGGTTATTAATAGTAGTTACTACATGGAAATACTATATTTAAGCTGCTATAGGGACTGTATATGTTGTGCACGTAGACACAAGATTCTTTATTGCCCAAATTATATGTTGAACCTAATATGTAAGTAAGTTTATTTTAGTTGTCTATCAAAGCAGCATACCTCAAGTAACTTCCTAATCTCTGTATCTAGGCAGTGGAGAAAAGTTGGTGGCTTTACGATCTTCAAAGAAAGATTTTTCTATCAGATTTTCCTAAGCTGGAACTTCACCTGGAACCCTGGAAATCCTCAGAAGTACTGACCTCTCTCCTCTGACTATACAGGGAATAACAACACAAACTACTTCATTGGGCGCTTAACATTTAGACCCAATTTAGGTGTCTATGGCAGGTAAACTGGATTTGCTTTCCACCTAGGAAGTTAATGCAAAGCTCTAAAACTAAACCTTGCAAGGAGGCTATCAAGTGGCCTGAAGCAGGGCATACATAAATTCAGTTAATCCTAATACAGACTATTCTACTACTCAGCTACAGATCCATGCATTTGTTGAATATCTACAGATCATTACTGTCAAGGACAGTCCCCATATAACCATTTTCTTATGAAACAGGTTAAAAAACAGCATGTGTTTGTAAACAGCTTACAGCTTGGGCTGCCGGAAATCATTCTGCCTTCCTCACCTCTTCTCATCAATTCCCAAAGCTTTGTCTTATCAGGATGTTGGACTGAGAAGCACATCTTTCAAGATAGCTCCCTAATCAGCTAATTTTATATGGCAAAATTTCCTCCCTGCCCCCAGTAGTTTTCCTGAGATAAAGGAGGGAGGCTCATTAAAGCTGCCTTTGAAAACTATCTTTTTATCACACCTCTGGTCTTTCAGGTCTCTCCCGTTCCATGGTCTTTCTCCTCAGAAGTTTTCTCACTCCTTTGTCAAACATCAGCTGTCTCTTGCTGTTGTTCATCGCTGCCTCATTCATTTTTCTCACTTGGGAAATCAGGAAAGATGGGACCTAAAGGGAGGAAACCAGATCTAAGAATAGTCATTTCCCCCCCAGCATTGCTGTTGGGTCTTTAGAAATGCACCAAATTTTAGGCAGCAGAAATTCTATTTATTCCTAGAAGATACATGCAAATTGTAGCTCTCTCTAGCAGCCTACAGTTATTCCTTCGGTGACACTGTAGATCTTCATGCCATATGAAACTCTTAGTGATGTTTGAAGTTGCAGGAACTTCATTAGGAGGTAGTCTTTGCAATCCTCATCATACCCTCCTTTTTGAGAAAACAAACTGAGACTGCCAAAATCTTCATGCTAACCTTCGGCAGCCCAACAAGTAGTACACACTTTTGGTCTCATATTGCTATGGGCTAGACTCTAAACAGACATTTAATCTCACTCAAATTTAGACATATCACCTAGACATCTAGATTAAATCACTCTTATGCATTATTCTGTACAAACAATGGTGTGGGACAGGTCAATTCGTGCTAAAATAGATGACTCAGGTAAGTGAGGTAACCCAATCCACAGATATCCGTCACCCTATCTCATTTTGGATGTAGAAGACTTCAGCCAGTTTCCCAAGAACAGCCAACTGTTTCTCCTTGGAAGGTCAGTTTACCCTGATTTCTGCAGAGCTCCTGCATATAGCAAAATACTGGCCTGTACTGGAGCCCTAAGGAGGGAACCAACATTACTCACTGTCCACAGGATGTCCTGGTACCGAATTAACAGCCGCACGATGTGTGCTGTGGTGGCAGCTGCTTGCATTTCTTGTTGGTTTGCACGTTTCCCTTTGTAGATGAAGAGGTTTGGTGCAACAATCATAGAAACATTCCACAAATTCATCTTGTTTTTCCCTTCATTAGCAACCACCTTCTTCAGGAACTGAAGAAAGGCCTGGAAAAAACCAACACTTGTTGAGTCTCATGAAATAATTTGCTTCTGAAATGCAACACTTTTAATTGCACAACATGTCAGGCTCAAAAACTGCTATAATTGCACTTAAAGGTGAAATTTAGGGGTTTTTTGCATTTTAATTTGGATTACTCTGTTTGGTAGAACCACCTGTGTCAATCACAGAGGAACAGTTAATGCTATCAAAATACACATTAATAAATTATCTATCACTTAGAGCATAATCCCAAATTTGCAAGTTGAGTACAGTGTCTACACTAAGGTACTGAATACTATAGTGGAGGAAAGAAGTACGGATATTGCAAGGGAACAGTTACTTTCTTCATAGATTTCCAAGTGTCCGTTTTGATGTATGTAACCAATGCTTTTTATATAACCATCACCAGGGTGATCGGTCTTTCTTCAAATGTGCACCAGTCCCAAATGTGATTTGAAAAATTTCTGCCAGCAACCCCCAAACTTTTATTTTGGGATGATGAAAACAAGAAGAGCTCTGTTGTTATTCACTGATGTTACTTCTGCACATGCATGGCAGAGTCGAAGGAAACTCATTTCCTTTTTGGGTAGTTTGTTCAGAATTTTCTTTGAGTGACTGAACAGGATGAATTGCAGCTGTGGTTAGAGTTGAGGTCTACCAATGATTCCTTTTGCAATACTGTTATGGTTTCAGCTGGGATAGAGTTAATTTTCTTCCTAGTATCTGGTACAGCGCTGTGTTTTGGATTTAGGATAAGAATAATGTTGATAACACACTGACGTTTTAGTTGCTTCTAAGTAGTGTTTACACTTAGTCAGTGTAATCTTTAGTTTCTCAGGCTGCCTGGCCAGTGAGGAGCCTGGGGATGCACAAGAACTTGGTAGGGGACACAGCCAGGAGAGCTGATTTCCACTGACCAAAGGGATATTCCATACCATATGGCGTCATGTTCAGTATATAAATGTGGGAATACTGATCTGGGACTGCTGTTCAGGGGCTGGCTGGGCATCAGTTACAAACAGTGGTGATCAGTGGTGAACAACTGCATTGTACATCACTTGTTTTGTATATTCTAATTATTTTATCGTTATTATTTTCCATTTCTTTTCTGCCCTATTAAACTGTTTTTATCTCAATCCATGAATTTTTTTTTTCAAATTTTCTAATCCATCCCACTGGGCAGGGGGAGAAGTGAAGGAACAGCTGTGTGGTGGTGTGCTGGTTGTGGCTGGGGTAGAGTTAATTTTCTTTGCAGTGGCCAGTATTGGGGCTATGTTTTAGATTTGTGCAGAACACAGTGCTGATAATATAGAGATGTTTTTGTTATTGCTGAGCAGTGCTTACACAGAGCGACGGCCTTTCCTGCTTTTTTGAACTGTCATGTTGGTGAGGAGGTTGCAGGTGCATGAGAAGTTGAGAGGAGACAAAGTCAGGACAGGTGACTACAACTGACCAAAGGGATGTTCCATACCATATGACATCATGTTTAGTATATAAAGCTGGGGGGGGAAGAAGAAGGAGGGACAGGACTTTTGAAATGATGGCATTTGTCTTTCCAAGTAACCGTTGCGCGCGATGGGGCCCTGCTCTCACGGAGATGGCTGAACACCTGCTTGCCCATCGGAAGCAGTGAATTCATTGTTTTGCTTTGTTTGTGTGTGTGGCTTTTGCTTTTCCTATGAAACTGTCTTTATTTCAACCCATGAGTTTTCTAGCTTTTACCCTTCCGATTCTCTCCCTGATCCCACTGGTGGGGGCGTGAAAGAGCAGCTATATGATGCTTGGTTGATGGCTGGGGTTAAACCACAACAGGTGTTTAGCTGTCTCCTGTGTTAAACCACAAAAAACATACCATTCAAACCACCACCTTTGTACCCTCACATTGCAATTAAAACATTTTTACAAACCCAAGAATTACAAAATAGAAACCGTGTTGGAAAAATTTCTAAAATCTCATTATAGATAGCAAGTAGAGATGCATAGTGAGTTTTGCCATCACTTCTATTTTTGTAAAAAATAGCCTAGTAATAATTAAGACTACTCCTCTAGCATATGTTTTCCATATGCAGCTCTATACCAAAATGAACTTCAGTAGCAGAAAAAAATTCTTTACAGAGCACTACTAGAAGACCTCCAGATGCTTTAAAGAGGGTTGTTCTTGTCCATCATTACTGTATTTAAAACTACAGGTAAAGAAGGCACCTGAACTTGTAAAGTTATATGTAAACTGACTAGTGGGAGACTTTCAAAGGTGGGGGACCTGCATGGTCCTGGTAAACAGAGGACCTGATGAAATGTCTTGGGGCTCCCAGGCAGCTTGTTCCCTTAGGTTTCCTTTATGTAGAAACAAGTCCAAAGATGCAACCAATGTCTCCTAGGGTCAGGACATAGCTGCAGTCAGATTTGGGAGCTCCCAAACACCCAAGATGCTTGAAGCCACTGTGTCTGTATCAGGAAGTAGTACAGCAGGGTGGGCATGGGTTTGTAAGGCCAGCCAACTGAGGACGAGATCCTGACATCTGTGCTACAGATACACATTTTTACTTTGGACTATTTCCAGTCTGGTCCAGTGCTCCAGAAGCCCTTCCATCCTGGGAGTGCACTAGGCAAGTTCCTTGAGGGCAGCTTCTCATTTAAATTCATCCTGGAGAATTTCTTTTATACAGAAAACCCAGAAACTGGACTTTTTTTCTCCAAACTATGTGAACTATGTGAGAAACACGCTTATTTGAAATGGGTGCCCCAGAATAAACGATGCCTGAGACCCAGCAGTTAGGTACCTCCAGCAACTGTTTCTTAATTGCTTGTAAAAGAAATCACAGCCAGGGAATTGGAACATCTTTTCAAGGAGATAATAAAAAACATGGATGAATTCTCTCCTGGTGAATCTTCTGAAAAAAAAAATCTGTCTCATTTAAAAGTCAAAAGCACCACAGATGGCAGGTGATACCAAACAAAGAACTTACCTTGGCTGTATCTCTGTTGGCTTCAGGCAGCAGCATGATCAACAGATGCAAAGCTTGTAGCTGTAACTTGATCTTGGAGATTTCTAAGGATATGAATAATTAATATTTTTGAAATCCCAATTGCAATTGGTTTGTTCAAAAACCTTGTGTGTCAGCAGTTCTAGAAATAACAGCTAGTGCCTGGTTGAGACTAGCATGTTTAGGTGTTGTTTAGGTGTTGATTTTATATTTTCCAAATATAAAATCAATTTAATGAGTGGAGTTTTCCTCATCCCCTTGGATGTTTGTCATATGGAGATACAAGGCTCTATAAAATTCTGTCTACATAGTAACAAGCCAATATTTTTCAGCACTAGCTAGTTTCTCTTAGATATTTGTGTATTTGTTGTAGGGAATAAAATAGTTCCATTCCGCACAGACACCTCCTGTTCAGTCTTCTCCAAATGGCTAAGCCATTGTAACTGCATGCAGTCTGGGACTCTCAAGGAGTACACTCAGGTATGTGAAGGTTACAGGAAAGGGACACCTCCTTCTGTCCTGTAAACTACCTAATGCAGACACTGAAAACTTGGCTGCAATCTTAGGTAAAGTTCCTCAGTTTTCTGTACCAAGTTGCCTAATTAATTCATCATCCTGAGAGTTTCACTCTGTACTAGCTCAAGTGACTTTACAGTGAAGTCATAGGTATGGCAAGGTACAACTGCATTCTTCCTGGAAGAGAAATGAACAAAATGTACTGAGAATGAAAGAGTGTATGTACACTGAAAACACACCTGACTGCCTGAAGCTTTCTGTGATCACACTTATCTCTGTACCAGTATTCTGACCTCAACATAAACCTTAAGAGAAATAAAATCAATCCAAGACAATATTGGCTAAAGGGCTGATTTTGAGTTCACCTTGCAAAAATTTTCATTTGTGAAACTTATAACTGGTGTGAATCAGAGTCTATATATGAAAGTCATTTCTCAGCCATTGTTTACTCATAGTTTTCAAATTTTACATTAAACAGTTGTGTTATTCATACAATACGCTTATACTACTAGCTAAACGCAGATACTTTTTTCTATTTGAAAACAAAATCTTGCAGAAAATTCAAATGTTTAGGCAGTGCACTGGGCCTGTTTTTCTTGCACTGGGCATGTTTTTCTCTCTACTTCAGAGAGAGAAAAAAATCAGTACTTCAGAAAGGGAAAAAAATGTAATGTCTACTCTTCCATTTTATCTAGATCAGTCCACACTAACTCCATTTCCACATACTTTCCACTAGTGTGATGAAAGCAGGCAGATATTCTACTGTGAAGAGTGGGCTTGGGAGTTCTCTTATAAACATTTTCAGCAGTCCCGCTGCATCATTATTTCGTACTTGGTCCCAGTCAAAAGTGTCTTCGTAAAATTTTGCCTCAAGTTCTTGATGGAGATTCTGAAAGATAAAAGAAACGTTTGGCCTTTAATCATTGTTGCTGACCCAGCAGTTTGCCATCACTTCAGAAGTCCCATTAACAAAGAGAATGCAGGTTTTGCACAGCACTTGAACTAAGGTAGCCCTAAACCACTGGCAGTCTTACACCCACATGGAGTTAAGAGCAGGTTAGCAAATCAAATTCCTGGGGATATTTGGCAACCCAGGCTAAATATGGTTTGCTATAGCTAAATTTCTGCCAGTGACCCCTTTGAACCATCTTAAAGCAAGACAATGTTGTGCAATGTCTTAGAACTAGAAACAGAAAACTCAGTTAACCGGGATCTTTTAAACACAGCTGTTCTTTTTGTTTAAAACACTCTCCAGAGGTTTTGACCCTTAAATCACAAAGGAGTGGTGTTTCTTCCTCACTGCTAGTGAACTCGCTAGATAGACTGTTGGCACCTGAATTCATGTGCCTTTAGCAAATGGCTTTAACTTTGTGTCTTCCTGTCTTTAGAAGGAAATTTTATGTCAGAATAATTATAGTTAGATTTGGTCAGAGTGCAGGAAAATAAAGGTATCAAACCATTACTGTCAGAAAAACCTCCACTTGAGGCATAACCCCCCTGAACCCCTAAAACTCAAAAAACACAAGAGAGGTCTAAGAATTGATGATTATACCATTTTAGACGCCCCTTTAATCCTCTTGTTCTACTATGTAAGCTGCATAATAGAGGTCTGTTTAGTTCTGGAGGGTCACTAATCAGAGTTCAACACACGTGTGAATGGGAAATACTTAGCAAGGTTCCTAGTAGGAACAGAGTTTGGTTTCAAACCCAGATGACTGTTTGAAAAATGCAAGCTCCTCAAAAAATTGTTGAGTTAAAATGATTGAAGGATGCTATTGTAATATAAGGATATCCATAAATAACACAGCTTTCACGATTATTACTGGCCAAACACTGTCTTATCCATAGGAGGGTGGTTGCTGCCTTTTATGAGACCATTTATGACAAAGTTGTATCTGTAGCAAATATTCAGGTTTCAGATCATGTTTTTGTCAAATGTTCTTTAATATTATGCAAAAAGTTTAGTCTGCTCAGGCAGAAAAGCTTTTAAAAATGAATTCTGTTTACCACGTCTCACATGAATGGAAGGAAATTACATATCAAATACAGTCACACATAATGAAGTAGAATGGTTGCACAAAAGGAAGTAGAAAGTCATTCAGGATTTGGCATATAATGTTACAGTCTCATTTTTACTAGCACATTTAACTGGTTGTAATCTGGGCTATCTCAGCTTCCTCTGTATTCACATCCTTTGCACATAATCCATACAAACACCTAGACTAAATTCTCTCCTGGTAATTGACTGGGAAATGTGGAACAGAAATCCTCACCTCATCAAAAGCACAAGAGGACAGATATCTACTCCACATTTTTCTGCTGAGAACTGGGAAAAAGCCGCAGAAAGAGAAAGCAAGATCTTTGAAACACAAACATTTTATATATATATATATATAAGCAGGTAAGAATATATATTATACACCCAATTCCCTCCACCCCTCATATATGTATGCATCTAAATACTTCTAAAATATGTGTTTGCAGGTTTTTTTAAACATGATTGACCCTACACTAGACCATCATACATTTTTTGTTCACTGGAACTTCTGTTACAAACCAGATTGCGGAGGAAAACTTGTATTTCTATATTCTTTGTTTTATAGAACAGTAACCTTTAATCACTTCCATACGCCTTTTCTTTCTCCAAACAAGACTGAAATAAAGTTGGAATGCCCTCAAATCCTAATGTCATAATAATGTATGAAGGCTTTGAAGGATGAAATCTGGATCTGCTTTGAAAAAATCTCTCTTGCTCGTTGGCTCGTTGGACAGACTTAAATAAAACCAAAACTCAAATAATTTACAACTTTCATATGGGCAGTTTAATTTACCACCCAGTATAAGAGAGTTACATATAAAGTCATACCTTATAGCAGCTCCCTGGATATGGGCTGTGAATAAGAAGTGAACAATACACAGTACACTGTACACAAAGAATATGAAAATAATTGAATTAGAGCACAGCCCTGTGTTGTAATCTCCCTGAAGAGGTTGGTAAGATTTGAGATTGTGTGAAATAACATTTAAGCATTCATATGAAAAAAGGAGGAAGCTGAAAAGTACAGGGCAAATTAGGAACTTCCTTCTGCAAGATGTGGCACTTTTCAAGCCACTGGGTACTTTTATCAATCCACAGAGTCAAAGGAGCTGGGATACTACTGCCTATCTTTGGTGTGTTTCACATAATGTTACTTTTCCGTGTACAGTCATTTTTGATGATTCTCAGCTCCAGCCAGTTTAGCAATCCCCAACATTTGTATGGCTGCCACAACGTTGAGACTTCCTACCCCAGAAAGCAAGGCTAACTTTCTTGAGGATGAGAAAGTGGGAGTAAAATGCACTATAAGGTGTTTCTTAAACCAGAACAAAAAAAGCCTGGGGGAAAAAAAAAAAAAGGCAAAAATGTGGGAATGAGGTAGACACTACTAAGCCCAGAAAAAAACACCAACCCAACAAAAACCACCTTGTTTTCCTAATTTGCCTGTGCCAGCTTCCAGAATCAAGTTAGTCTGGAGAAACAATAGCAAGCATTACTGCCCCACAATGTCAAGAGACTGGGTACCAACTATCCTGTGTTCACAGCTCGAAAACAGCCTGTGAAAATGCAGTACTTCAGGCTGCCAGCAGTGAACATATGCCAAATTTCTCTCACTTGGAATATGAAATTGTAAGATCACAGAAGATAAATGAGAAATAAAATGCCACAGAGGTTAAAAAGACATAGAATAAGATCTTTATCTGATGTTCACTGAGTTTAGCAACTTTGAATTTCTGAAATAAATTAAAACAGAGATAAGATCATAGCAATTTTGGATGACAGAGATAAACTGAAAGGTTCCCTCAATGTTTCATGGAGAAAAACTGCATTCAACATCAAGACTGTGCTTTATATAGAACACTAACTAAAGAAAGCAATGGACCACATGTTCTGTGCATTACTGGTTCCCAGGAACCGATCTAACCTTTCACTGGCAGGAGAAGGAGCTAGACACATCAGTATTTATGTGCAGTGTGAATTTATGTGTGTGATGTATTATTTTACACAGAGTCTGCGGTCCAGAAGATGGAAAACTGGCATGAGTGTGTACCTTGACTCTGGAGGCAGATCCAGGAACCCGTAGAATTCCTTCAGTTTCCAAACCTGTTTCCTCAAGCTTGAGCAGCAACTGAAAGACAACAAAACACTCAGAAGGGAAAATACTCAAAATCACTTAAGAATACTATTCACTTTTTTTTCAATCTTGGTATCCTTGAAACTAATTTGAAAAAGATACATTTCTATGGAATTTGCTCATGAAAAGATGCCAGCTCATGTAAATAAACCTGCCTAATTTGTTCTCCATATTCCTGAACCTGAACTAAGGAGTATGCAGCGTATGGAAAACTGCTAATGAAATAGGCCCCTCTGTCCTAGACTTGAGAGTTGTCACTGCTATAGAACAATTAACACATAAATGTATTATTAAAAGAGTAGATACACTGGATAAAATACAGTGGTGTACTGAAGGAAAAATAACCTCTGAGAAATGTTGAAGTATGCCCCAAAAGCATAATGGAAAGGTCCATAGATAACATATGTTTTTGGGAACTGAGAACTCAGATTAGAGAATGATCCTAGGATATTTTATTTTGAAATTTCTGCCAATAGAGGAATAAGCTTTCCATTCTAATTCTTTATTAGAAAAATAAATATGTTTTCATTTGACATAATTTTGAACATTGGAAAAAATAGTTTCCTAGCATTCAATCATACAGCTCTGGATTTTCACCACCAGATCTTCTTCCTGCCCTAACTTGGATTCTTCTAATTTCCCATAGTATTTTGACAGGGGAGCTGTGGAGCTAAATGCCAAGTCATGTAAATGTTCAAGTTGTGTCAGTCTTTCCCCTAACACTCCACACCACTTTCCCTTTTGTCAGTATTTACAGGGAAACTTGCTGTAATTGCACATGTACTTGTGTCTGTGTACCTGTCTCCAAGACATCCACTAGATGTCATTGTACTGCCAAATGGCTCATATAAGTGTTGTCATACAAACCTCAATGAGAAGATATCACTTCTATTCTGGAAATAATAGCTAAGTAATACCTACAGTTTCAATTACTGTGAAATTAAAGCTCCTGAGACAACTCACATCTGCCATTTCTGCACATACATAATTTTGCCTGGCTCTCTAGTTTAACAAAAAAGGGAAATAGAAAGACATTTTTTTCCTAAAGTTTCCTGTGTGGTTTCATATCATTACAAAAATAAAATGAAGTCCCCACCACAGATAAAACACACAAAAGGAGTAAATTTTGTCTCCTTGTCAAGAGGTTTTCAAACCACAATATACAGTCAGACAGCCTGTATGCACCCGCAAGCCTGTAAAGCCTGCATCTTCTCTCATCCGATGACTCATTTGAGTGTCAATGCAAATGACAGAGAAGCAAATCTTATTGTCCAAGCAAGCTGAGTTATACTCACTTTTTGGAAGATAAGGGGAACTTTTATTCCAGGAACCTTCTTTTGATCGTTCTCCAGCAGCACAGTGAGAGGGACTCCGAAAAGACCATTCTCTTAAAAATAATAACAACAAATGTGAAAAAAAGGAAACACAGCCTCGTATGCGCCTTCTTTGCAATGCTGATCGACACGCAAGTGGCTGCAAAGGGGATGCCGTAGCACAGTACCTCGTCCCCGCACTCTCTCTGCACGGTTCCTCTTCAGTTCCACCCCCAGCGCATCGTAGAAGGCTGTTAGCTCAATCAGGGAGAGGTAGCGGATCTTCTTCATGTCTTCAGGGGAGAGGTCTCCAACCTCTGTCAGTCCAAACCGGCTTTTCCGAACAACGAATTTCTACAGTAGAGATGGGTCGCATCTTTATTTGCACAAAAACTGCAAGGAGCGAATTTTTGTTTTGAAGGAGGTGCCCGTATGTGATAGGAAGTCATGTTAGGGTAGATGGATAACAAAAAAAAGATGAACTATAGCTCTATATATTGGTCTGGTATGATGACATCGTGTCCACCTGAACATAAAATTGAGCTTCTTGCTCACTATGTTCCCTTGCAGTTTGACTGGGAATTGGTGTTGGAGCACCTCTGTGCCTGTACTCCAGCTAGGACAAATGAGCTACGTACTCCTTTCAAACTTTTGCCCTGTTTCAGCAGGATGCAACATTTTGCTCTGCTTCTGCCTTCCCCAAAATGTCTTGAATGCTGTTGAAGTAGCTGACACAGTTCATCATGGATATGGTTGTGTATCAATCATGTGTCTGTAACAAACACATGCCTGCTTAGCATAATGCTATTAATTTATGAGGTCTAACAGAAGAGTTCAAACTAAAGACCTGTGGAAAAGCCTAGAAGCAAAATTACTTAGTCCTCATGCCAACCTGCCAATTTAATGGTATTTTTTATTGCTTAAAAAGCATTTGGGCTTAGAAGCAGGACTCCCAACAGCTAAGAAATAACTTATTCAAGTAGACTTGAACTAAATGATACTGAGGAATTTGAGGGCATGTGAAGATTTCTACATGTTTTAGAAACTGCAGTGTTGTAGACCGGAGCCAGGAATGTTGCCTCGTGACAGACACATTTGTACAAATGTCAAAAAGAACAAATACCCATCAGTTTCTAACATAATTGTTAGACATAATAACAAAGTTACAGTAAAAAACATGCTTTTCAAAGATCTTTGGCATTGTATGTCTTTTTAATTTAATTGTACTTTAAAAAAACGTTAGAGATATAAACAAAAAGTATTACAAATCATCTCCTCCCTTTAGGGATCTGAGTGGAAACCCAGCCTTTAATAATGTTTTGCTTCTGGAGATTTCAGCCCAGTCTTTCTTTTTTTTAAACAAATTTGGACTCGATAGGTTTAAACCATCTTTAAATGAAACCAGTTAAACTAATTAAATAAAAAGCAAACAAAAAAAATTTAAACGTACACCAGATTTCAAAAACAAGAGACTACAAAGGACATCTAGATCATGTAGTTTAGGACTTCCTAAATTATACTGCACATGGTCAATAGGGGTTAATAATAATTGGGGCAGAAAGAGTTCAGGGAACAGAATAACTAATGAACATGCTGTCTGTAGCATTTTAGCCCAAAATATTCCTTTTGTAGAACAGAGCAATTCCACAATTCCCTGAGACTTAATAATGTAATAAAAGTTGCATTCAGGACAGTCTTCTGAAGATACATGAAATACTAAAGAATATCTATGCATTTTGGTTCCAGTGATGCAAAAAGTCCAAAAGCAGTCAAAGCACAATAAATCACCTTGAAAATAAGAAAAAAAATCAGATAGTACACGTATATTTTCTGAGGGGAAAGTGAAAAGGTATGTTTGCCCGTGAAAAAATTCCAAACACTCAAAACTGATTACAAAGGGTGCTACAATGATTTTCCATGGTGGCTGTTTGAGTCCTAGGGTCACTATGATGTGATGCTATGGTTAGCACAAGGTTTGGGGCTGGGCCTCTTTCTTCTGTCTTGTGTCACAATTTTCCAGTGGTTTTTCTTATGAACAGTCGTGTCAAAATATGCATCACTGAAGGAGGCTGTGCTATCTTGAAATTTGATTACTAATGTTTTGGCTAAGGACCATGTCTGATATATTTTGTGATGTTGTTTCTATGTGGAACTACGTAGTGTATTCAGATGGGCCTGATATGCTTACTGACTCGTAGCTTTGTAATATCTTTGACTAAGTCACATGGATTATGGTCCCGTGTTGGGGAAACTGCATGTAACGCTATGCAGCCAAGGTTGTTGAGGTGGCCATTCTGGGAGCTGCATGGGACATGCTATTTTATGACATACAATATATCTTTGTGCAGCTCTGTATACGCTATCCATGACGTTGGTTATGTTGTCAGACCTGCCCTGGAGAAAGTATGATGTTGCACAGTCTTCAGTCTAGCCCCATTGGCCCACCATGGGGAAGGAGGGACAGTCCTCCAGGGTATAGGTGGCTGGTTGCTTGGTGTAACAGAGCAAGAGGTGAGGCCCATGACAGTCTGAGTCATTATGGGAAAAAAACAAATACCATGAGTGACAGCAGATGAAGTACGGGGAATGCCAACATCAACAGCTATGACTGTTGACTTTATTTAGAAATCTCTCTCTGTAATGACCTTTCTTATTTCTTGTGTACTCATGAACTCACAAAATGATGTCCTGTATGCAGAGTAGTTCAACCCCAGCACAAGACTGGCTTTTTCTAAAACTAATCGATTATGAATCCACAGATCCATGATATTCAATGTGGCATCTTCACTCTTTGTCAGCAGTTTCCTTCCTCTGTCAACTGCAAATTTTCTGAGCTGTTGCAGAGAACAATTTGTGTGTGTGCATGTGGTAGTAAAGGCCAAAATTATGATGAATGCAGAAATACCCGTACTTTCCACAGGACACCAAGTTATCCCCCCAAAAAACCCCAAAACAACCAAAGACACAATAAAACACAGGGATTTCACACAAGTTGTGTAATCTACTTGGTGTCTTATCTTTTGACAAGCAAGCTTACTTCTGCATCTCAGCTTCTTCCTTGGTAGAGTCTGAGATGGACAAATGAACGTCTGTGTGGATTATAACAGCTTCAGATTAGTTCAGGATCTCAGGACATCATGACACTCAGGAAATGCTTCCAAATAACTTACAGCTGACATCATACATGTCACTAAAAAGGCGGTATATGAAGCACTAAACTAATGCTTCCAGTGATGGAAGTTGTGAGAGCTGATGGAAGTAGAAAACAGACTTCCTTGACTTCACAAAATAATTCCAGATAATGACAAAACTGCTCAGTGTATGTCTGGTTGGATGATATAGTATTTCCTATAGCACTGAATACTGATTGGAAACAGTCAGTACTGCTGCAGGTCTAAAGTTTGCTTTCCTCTCTTCATCTATGGAGCAATTTTAAATCCATATGTTAACTAAGGCAGATAATCTGTGGGGGAATAAAGTAGGAAAGCAAACCCATAATGAAAATGATTGTTAGTTTTCATGCCAGTAAGAGGTTTTTATTTCTGCATGAAAAAATTGTGGATGATGCAATATTTGTGGACTGAGTTACACACATTCATCTGTGATGGGTACAAGTAAAGACCTGGCTTGGATATCCATATTAACTTTGGTGCCTCTCTGGGAGTCAATCACAGGCAGAAGGCAGGCACAGGAGGCAGTCTCTACAAAGCATGCGTCTAAAAGGACAGCTCATGTATCTTAAGAGACTCCAACAGTGCTGGGGTGTAAAGCAGGAAATTGCTGTATTAAAGAAAACAACCAAGGAAATATGTCGAGAACAAACTTACAGGCAAAGCCGAGTCTTCTTTTTTGAACCTCTGATTTTTTGGCCACTCTTGGGTTTTTGGAAGGACTGTAATGGATTCTGAGAAAGAGACCTCATAAGAGAGCTCTTCTGTTACGGATGGGCTGCCTTTATCTAGTCCGCAGTCTAGACAGCTAGTAGCTGAAAATAAGGGAAATAATATATGAATGCTGAATATATGCTTGCATTTAGTACAGAGACATTAAAAAATTAAACCAAGATGACAAAAGTCTTGAGACAGTAATAAAGGAAGTGCTTCAAAGAGGAGTTTCAGTGCAAACCACAGCATGTTCCTGTTTTGTCTGGAGGAAATAACCCCTTAGAAATAAAATCCCTATTTTCATTTTAGATTATTTAACTTGTTGCTTTCTGTGAGAAAGATAGTCAAGCTGGAACTTCCTGTTTATCAGGAATTCCAAAGTTTTTGTACTCTGTCCTTGTCTACCCAAGCCAGCAAACTGTGGTGGCACTTGTCTAATGAACAATTAAAAATAAAAGGTCTTGACAGAAAAATGCTGTTGACACAGTTTCTTAGGTTACTTATAATCATAAGACATTGTGCATATATTTTATGTGGTCACAGACATACATTTCTCAATGTTGACAGTTTAGTTGTATAGCACCGAAACACGACACAATGTACAATATTCCAGTTTGAAAAACACTGTATCTACTGGCATTTATGGTAGATACTGTGAACTGACTTATTGCTCTTTAGTTACCTCCTGAAATTAGTGGATGCCAGAGGAAAATTTTTGAAATCAGTACAATCAAGTTCAGTAATATGCTATTGTCATGGAATCCAAAGTGTGATAACATATATGAGTTCCAGTGTTGCCAACTTTCACGACAGATCTCTCATATCTCAGGTCAATTTTTATTTTCCCTTAAGGTCCAACTCCTAGACTCACCTAACTGGAATATAATCATAAATTTAACTGAAAGTGAAGTAAAATTTCATCACCCAGGATTGCAGGAAAGAATTTACTAACATGACCCAAATGTGTTCAAAAGCCATGGAAATCAGAAAGTGAATTAAAAAACATTACATATTTTATAAACCTGTGCATGTCCCATGTTTTTTGAATCACTGCATTAACAGATACAAGGATTTAAATATTTTTTGCAACACCCTTGGTTTGCAAGTCAGATATGAAAAAAGCTAAGTGTGTTATTGAGTGGCTTCCAGATTTTGAACTGTGGATTTAGATTTTATCTAATAGCCAAGCCATTTAAGATGTTTTCCATCTCTCTTTCCCCCCTTGGACCTGGGACCACAGACTGTCTACAGTAGCCCTGGGAAGTCGGTTCCCCATCTGCTGCAGTACAACTGCTTGAAGAGCAGAAGTATCAGGAGAGCAGCTTTTGCCACCAAGGAAAATGCCTGTGGCACTATACCCAGAGGTAAACATCCAAGGGACTAGTTTAGTAACTTGGGTATTAATATTAATTTAGTTAAGCCCTGAACAATGTGGATGGGAAAAGCTTTCAAAATAAAAGATGGACTTTCTCATGGAAGGCTACTGACAGTTATCCAGACACTAAGTAGAGTAGAGCTATTGTTTTCATTAGCAGTGCCAGTCACTGTCAGGACAAAGCATTTAAGGGGTAACACCATTAGTGGATCAGAATAATAGGGCAGAACCACGAAAATGATCCATTTCTAATACTGCAGTTTTTGCAGTACCAGAGAAATGTGGAGGAAAATAAGAATCTTTCTTGTCATGATATGCAAAAAGAAAATACACTGATGATACAGTTTGGACAAATTCTGCAAAATATTGTTTAGTGATTGTTTTAACAATCCCAGCCTTGCAATGATCAGTATTTTTTAGATGCTGATGCCTCAAGGGCAGCAGTCTGAGTAGTACAACACTGGTCATTAATAGGAAACTTTGGGTCCTGCATGACAATAAGCTGACAATGATTTTAAGGAAATATATGCAGCACTGCCTCAACATGAAAGAGGGGACTAACCCCTGAACCACAAAAGGGTCTGTCTATCATTTTTCCAGGAGAAAGAGAATACTGGTTACATGTTGTCATACTCACAGGTAACTGATTTCCAAACTGCCTTCTGCCCAGGGAGCTGGATACCGTTAGAAGGAACTGGTGGCACTGGAACTGTCTCAAATGTGAGCTGATAAGCAAAGAAAAATGATCAGACTACAGTGAAGGTAAAAGTCGATGGACAAAAACTACTACAGTTCAAGCAACAGTATATCATTCTCAGCTTACACTGTTTTGAAAAGATAGAACAATCTGTTGTGATTCTCAAGAGCATATTTTTCATAGCCAAGACTGAGAATTAATTTTGCTCAGTCTGTATAGATTTGATCATGTTGAGGTCAGTAATATTACAGCTTGCTGTACCTAATGAGTCCTGTCCTACATAATGACTGAAATTAGCTAAGTAAATTACTGTACAGAACTATACTAAGAAAAAAATCCTTGTAGAACTGTAATTCATCCTGCTTTTAATCATTTTGGCCACAAATCTTTTTGAAGAATCTTTGGCACATGTTGAATATCTGCTGTTCCCAGGCATCTGTCAGAAATCAGGCTTCTTTGGTGTCTCTTGCAATTTGGGCACCAGCAAGTTATTAATGGGCAGATGTCCTCCCACATACTAACATTTTTATCGGTGGACTGCAAAAAACGTTCTGAGGGAACGAAGAAATTTTCTATAGTAAAATTAATTTCTTTCCACTCCAAAAGTCATTCTGCACTGCAGAGAAAGAGCTTAGTAGCCCAGGGGGTGACTTTCAAACAGTGTCACCTCTTATTGGCAGTGGAATTTAGGCTTTGTTCTCAGCAGTTCTGTGACTCATAAAGACAAATTCGAGTGTTTCTGTGTACATGGGGCAGTAGCAGCTCATCTATGTGTTCATGGGTAAAAAAAACAAAATTACAAATCAAGGTCATGAATTAAAGAAATAGTCTGAAGATTACTCTGTGAAAATGACTACAATATTCCAAACCTTTCTCGTATTTTTTTCTGCTGTCTTCTGCATCCTTGTGGGAGTCCTTGGAGCCTCCGCCTTTCTCAAACCTGCTGCCTCACCCTCTTTGAACCTGATGGAGCAGCTCCAGTTTTCTAGCTGAACCTACATCTGAGAGACCCCATTAGCCCTCAATACCCACTCTTTAAATTGCTTTTTAAATTGCTAAATCGGCTGTTTATCAACAACCAGCAATGCCTCAGGGCAGAAATTTTGTCTTCCCCATTTGTAGCCAACACACAGGAGCAACATTCAGGCTGCTAAAAAATGTCATATATTTAAAAGACAGGCAGCTCTTCAAATTGGAAGCCTGAAATAATGTTGCGGTTGTTTTATTCTGCCTTATCCTCTGAGCTATTTGGGTAACAAAGTCAAATGTAACATGAACAAAATCTCTCCTGAGAGACTCCATTCAATAGCCTGCGAACTTGAGAGCAAACAGGATTTAAGTCACATGGACTTCCTTTGCCAGAAGACTGTAAGGACTACCGATTTTTTGAAAAGGAGAACTATAGGATGCTTTTATGATAAAATCCCACAACATTTACATAAAAAGCTTCAGGACATTAAAAATGCTATAAATTTCAGGTGGGAGTATGGAAGTGGAGGAGATGGTTAGACCTGTCTCACCAGTTTGGGAAAATCAACCATAAAAGTACTTATGCTTCTGCTTAAGTTCCAGATGGAGAAATTAATGGTAAACATTAGCAACTCCCTCATTTACTTTCAGTGCTCAGAATGTCTGACCCTTCTAACAGTTTTCAGAATAGATTTACAATGAGTCAAGTTTATTAAGGAAAAAAATACTTCCAGCCTTGTTACAAGGGTGAAGTCGATAGCAAAGCACCTGCAGTAACCCGCTTCCATAAAGCACAGAGCCAGTGGAAAGGAGCAGACAGCACACCTCTGCTTCACACCCATCAGGGCTTGCAACAGCCTGTGAGCTGCTCTAGCTTCTGGCAATTATAGAATAATGTGGATCATGCACAGTATCAGGGGTAGCTAAAATGTCATATTCTCAGTCTCTTTTCCCAGCCTCCACGGCGAGAGTGTACAAAGAAGCCAAATCTATGTCCCTTTTGTGAAAATGTCTTCCTTCCCCCCCATTTTACTTTTTTAAAATCTTAAGATAATATGATAAAAAGAAAGGGAAGACTAGGAATAAAACCTTTTTAATACATGAATTTTAAAGATCCAGATTATTTCTGTAGTATAAAAGAAGAATAAAAAACTGTGGAAGATCTTAATGAATGTGAAAGACCAAGAGTCAAATTGTGTCCTTAACTAAACTGGAACAGCTTTATTCATCTGGCTGGGGCTCCAGCTAAGGTGCAGCTTCTCATACGCTGATTTCTGTCTGAAAGTGATTCATTAGACATATTAAAAATGAACCCACTGTTTACTGCCACAATGTACACAGGAATTTCCAACGGGGAGAGGAAATCAGAAGAGCAAGGAGAAGCTGGAGATGAGGTTGGTAGTTCTTTAGTAGCTACCCTCATTGTAGAAGATGTAAAACCAAATCATTGCAGCACCTAAGCAACCAAATTCTAATGTCAGCCCTGTAGCTAAGGGAAATAAAGGCAGAGGAGGATAACCTTATAGTTCTGGTCAGGACATAATTTGCCAATGTTTTGAATATATTCATATTTCCAAGCACTGTCATTACAAACACCTTTTCATGCAAATAGGTCTGGGTTAGTGATTTCTCCTTAATCAGAACATGATTTTCTCATGCACTGCTGAAGTAAAATGCTTCTAAAAACTCTTAAGGAGTTTCACAAGGCATAGAGCTGGGCTTTTAATGAGCATGATGCACTTCCTCCCTCCAATAACAAAATCCATGTGTGTGTGTGTCCATTTGTATTCTGCTGATTTTTCTAGGCTTTGAGCACTAGCAATGCCAATGGCTTCTGATGGAAGCAGCAGGGTACCAGCAGTAAGAAAAATCAGGCCACAGTGATTAATAAACCATCCAATTTAAAACTCGGTATTGTGGCTGTCAGTCGAGGCTCCTGGCTGTAGACCTGTCTGAAGCAGAGCAAAAGCACCTCAGCTGGGACAGGCTGCTCTTCCAAGGCATGGCTCTTGCAAGGGTGATGTACCACAGGGGCAGCATTTTGCCCCCAGGGATCATGGCACCTTTCCAGGATAGGCAACAGAAAAAAAAAAAATCCAAACAAAACGAGGAATGGCTGCATTTCCTTTTATTTGAGACCAGTTTGTCCGTTGAGGGAACACTCCTGCCCTGAGGGGATGGACCTCAAGGCAGGATGACTGAAAAAGCACCCTTTGCTCTGTGTTGACTCCCGCAGAGGCAGGCCACCAGGCAGTAGTAGCAAAACATGTAGCAGGGAGGCTTTTTTTTTTTTTTTCAGAACAGAGACAAAAAACTAGGGCAAATCTATCTTTCTTTTCCCCCACTCCAGATGACAACTATTTACGCCTCTTTAGTGATCCCCTAAATCTCATCTCAGGTGACCTTACTGAGCTAATCACCTTTTATCTCATCATTAGCCACAGAAGACAGTAAACCATTCTGTAACCCATCCCTCTAGGCTCTTGCAATTCTTAGGTCGTTGGGAAGAAGGTGTAAATCCATCCTCCTAATGGGGAGGATTATAGAGTTATGTGAAACAATTAGAGCTGTTTTGCTATTCGCACCATGATTACTTCTTCCTTCCCAACAGAAAGGCAGGATGGGAAAGCAAAACTTCACGTCATTTCAAGCAGTCTCCTTACCAGCCTCTCTTCAGCAGCTGTGCTGAAAAGATTTGCCCCTTCCCGTCTCCTGTCGCTCTTTTCTTTTTGCTGGGTTGTTTTTAATGCGGATCTCTTTCCTAAGCTGATTCATCACAAAGATTCACCGCCAGCCGTAGTGCCGTGCCCAAAGAGGCAGCAGAGCGCGAGGGACTGCTGATACCCCCTAACAAAGACTGCTCGGGAAACCCTTAGGTCGGGAACACAAGCTCCTCTGAAGTGTTTATCCCTGAAGAGCTGATAATTAGCACAAAGTTCCTAAATCCCATAATAAGCAGCAGAGATAGGAGCAATGGTCAATAGGAAAACCAAAAGGGTGCTGGGAACCTTTCAGGCTTTTAGAAATACAATCTTTCACAGTCCATTGGAGGGAAGTGATGGTGTGTTCTGCAGTTGTATTTGTGCATCTGTGTTTAACATTTAGTCAAGCACCTGCCTAACTGCATATTTTTGTGGGAAGAAAAATTAGAAGACTTAATTACTTATTTGATTCTATCTTTTAGACTTTAAAAATACAGAAGTAGTAAGTGAACTGAATTTCAGAGGAAGTGAAAAAGCGATTTGAAAGGCAATTGGCTCTGAAGATACAAATTCCTCTAGCAACTGAGAAACTTCAGAAAGTGAGAAAGTAGAAAATAAGCAGGTCAAAAATACATCAATAATGTGCCTATCTGAGAGAACGGTACAACATTTATTTTTCTGATTGAATTTTATTAGGAAACTTTAGTTTTTTTAAACACATTAACGTTTACAAAGACTCGAGTCAGGAGATGTGTGCTAATCTAATTAGAAGAACCATCAGCTTTTTAACGTTCATGCAAACATGCTTGATTATTTCTCACGAAAGAAAGTCTGACCACAAGAAACTACCAGATACTTCTGGATGTATTTGTGGGATATCCGTAAGAGGTTCAAAAGAAACCAGATACTTAAATTTGGAGACAAATAAGTTAACTTTCTGGCCATTATAGCTTTTTGATTTTATCATAACTATGAAGCTACAATTTTGTATCCCAATTTTTTTTTGTTTTAAATAGTCCAGGATGCCAAGCCTTGAGGAGAAGATAGGACAAACAGAAAAGGACAAAGAAAAATCATAATGAAAAAGAATTTCTTGGAGTTTTGTGATGGCAAAAACTTTAATATTAATTTCAAAGGTGAGACTGTGAGCTTATTGGTGACTCCCATTTAAGGTATCATGAGTGACAAAGGTAAAATGCATGTTGCTTTGAGCATTGTACTAAATTCACACAGTTTACTCCATTCAACAAAGTCAAAACATGTAGTGCTAGGAATTGGTTCATTTAGGGCTATCCTCAGGGAAAAGCAGAAGAAACCACCAGAGGTAACATTCATTTCTGAAGTCATGAAGCAAATGAACAGTTAATAGATTTTCATTTGCTAGATAAGTGAAATGTAACTGCCAGTGTACCAGTTGCAATCATGCTGGCAGGTGTTTAATTGCTTATGCATATTTGAACCCCAGTTGCTTCATTAGAGAAGTTTTACTTCACCACTGAGACTGCTGAGTAAATAGCAAGTGTCCCCAGAAGCCATCAAAAATTTGAATAGCTGCCAAGAGTAACTCACCAATTTCCAAAAAATAAAGGAGTAAATGTTAGTCTTGGTAGGAGATTGCAGGAGGAAGACTGGTAACAGATACAATATTATGTTACAAGTTAGTTGCAAAACTGTGCACCATCTATTATGTTTGGTGTCTTCCTTTCTTCTCAAAACGTAACATATAGAGTATTAAAAGTCTGATTTTAGGGTCAGGAGCTGCCACTGGCTGTCTGTACATTGTCAGCAGAAGGTTCCTGTCTGGCAGAAACTTTGGTGAGCTACTTGCAAATTGCATAAAAATTAAGATCAAAGGGATACTTACAGAAGAGTCATTGGTGCCAAAGATGTCTCGCACATCCCGGACTGTGTGCTTGTTCTTCTTCCTCAGGGTCTGAGTGTAGGTGTTGTACCTCTTCTGTACGGCAGCAGCTTGAGTTCTGGTCAGAGTGGACAGCAGAGCTTGGCCATCCTCCTCTTCAGCTCCAGAGATCAACGTAGATAAACCTACATCTTGCAGCCATTCTGCCTCCAGTTCCCCTTCTGCGAAGGAAGAGAGTGTGTTACCAGGCCTGGCAAGGAAGGGCGAGGGGGCTGAAGGAAAGGAGATGGCATGACAGACTGCTGCCATAGCCTTTACCGTGACAAGACTCCAATTCCAACCTTTTCTAGGCCAGAAGTGCAAGTAAAGATGGTTTTGTCAACATGCTCTCCACTTCCAGTTTGTCAGTGTCTGCATAGGAGAGGCTTACCAGAAGAACAGAGGAGGCATTTCTAACCTGTGCATCAGCATAGGCGTGTGAAAAAGGCAACAGAGTAGCAAGCCTGACACAGCAAGGTCCTTAAAAGCTAACGCCTAATGCAAGAGCACAAATCTCCTCAGTTACCACTTATGCCATGCTTACCATTTTTAGCATGCTCTACTGGATAAAGACATTTGGTTGATGGAATTTAAATTGGTATTCGAATCCAAATAAACAAAAATACTGAAGATGTATACAACAGAATAATGTATTTGCACACTAACAGTGGAATTTGAGATGTCAGAGGGCCAGCTGGTAGTCAGACACCTAGTGAAGAAGCCACACTAAGAGAAGGGTGATGTCCACCCAGTCCAGCAGCTTGTTTTGAATAAGATGATTAAGAACCAGAGCTGCTCACTAAAGAACAAGGTTCAGGAAGGGGTAGGTATCAAAGAGGTCAGGTAGGGGTGGAATATGCAAAAATAGCCATCCTTGCATGCTAGGTATCATCCTAATTTCTGGTAATGAAAGACTCACTAGCACTGTACACCCCAGCATTTCTTGGTATTTTAATTAGTGACTAATATCTTCTTGAATCTTGTTTCTCAGCTAGTTCAACACTGCAACTGGTTCCACAGTGAGATTAGGCACTGTGTGAAAAATTGTTTTCTATCCTGGCTCTATTGGGGGAAGCTTCTGGCATCTTTTCACAGAGCCACACTTGCAGTCCCCCCGCTACCAAAACCTGTCCAGGCAAAGCCAATGCAGGTTTTCAGCTTGCTACCTGTTACATTAAATTAATATGCCTTGTCATTATTGGACTAGCAGAAGCTCCCAGTCTGCCTTCTCTGAATCATTTAGTGATTTTAAATTTTGCTGTCATTGCTTTTTTATTTGTCTGCTTTTTAAAGTAAATAGTCACTGCCTTTTAAAATCTCTCATCACATAGGAGATTCCGAGGTCCTTCATTTCAGTTTTGGGAGCAATCCTAGCTCAGCAGTATGCTGCTTGAGACAGGACACTAATTTCATTACGGCTCTAACTGAAGAAGAGGTACTACAAATAAACATGTCAAACAGGAAATGGATTAATTTGCAGCATGTTCTATAAAACAACTAGTCAATGCACTTATTGTTCTTGTCCCAGTGCTGGTCTTAATGGCAGGTTGGTATTTCCACTCTCCCTTTATTGCCTCTTCTTGACATCAGAATGCAGGCTGATTGATGGACACCAGTTTGCTGCACTTTGGCAGCTAGATACACAAAAGAGAAAATTACAGGACTGGGCTGTAGGGACAAGCAAAAGCATCTTATGCATGTGCCATCACTGACTTCATTGTTAACTGCCCTGCCTCTTTACAAAACTCTACAAAAATAGCTGCTTCTAAAACCCTTGCTCTGTGTTAGCCAGGGGTGTGACCAGCCCTGTATGCCCTGAAACAGCTTCTCTGCTCTTATCCTTTCTTTATCCACAGACAGGATTACAGTGTTCCCTTCCCATCTTTGTAAGTTTTGAACTTCCCTCCTCACTCTTCTTTCTAAGAAGGTCTCTTCTCATCCTTCTGTGCTGCTGTTGGAGCCACATCTGTCCATGTTTCAGTTTTTTAATTATATTAATTTTAGCTTTTGTCTTGACATATTCTTTCCAAGTATTGAGTTTTTAATCAAACTCGTTTTTCATGATGCTATGAAAAATAGTAAGGCAGACATGAAATTCTGCCTGCTTACCACTTGTTTTCTCTGGCTTTTGGCCTCTTCCTGTTCCAACCACTCACAAACAATAGACTAAGAAATAGCAACAGCAATCAGAGGAATAAAACTATCAAAGAGAAGAAATTTATTCATTAAAAAACCTTCAAAATCTTATGTCACATAGGTTTTAAACATAGGTTAAAAACCCCTCATGCTGTTTTACAAATCTTATTTTGACAGTTAGCTACTTATACAGCAGGGTCTTGATACTGTGCTCCACCAGAAGATAAACAGATAATTGAGAAGGTAATTATCTTTTTCTCATAGAGATTGCTAGGAAAGAGGTGTGCCTTGCTTTGAATTTCAGATATAACCTGAAATAACTCACAGATATAATCTTAAACAATGCACAGCATCCCAGCCTTGAAACATGAAGTTCTAAAGCAGCTCAGTACATCATAGACATCTTAAATACCCCGTCTTCCTCCTCCCCTACATTTTCACATTTTCACCCCTTGTGTCACTTGTTATAATCTTCTGTTCTTTTTTGATTGTATTTACTAACATCAGCAGAGTAAGTGTGCTGTTGTCTGTCCCTTGCATGTGTTGTCTGGCAAACCACATTGTGGTTTTGACAGTATCAGTGGTGCCGGGCCGCTACCACCCTTTGGCCTTCTTTTTAAGGATCTTGCCTCTCTTCCTCTCAAAGACATCTCAAAAGGGCGACGAATATTTGTTTCTATTTTGCCCCAAGGGTTTTCACATTGATTTGGCAAGGAGAATTATACTATTAGGACCTTAATAGAACTTCCAAGATTTATAATCCCAAACTGAATATATTCCTGATCTTAATAACTAGGACAAACATTGCCTGGTTGTGTGTGAGTGTATGCAATATATATATATATATATGTTTAAAACAACAAAATGAAGGTAAATGAAGTGTGGAGATGTGCTGCACTTTGACTTGCAGTCTCATTTTTAATTAATGTCAGAGGGGAAAAAATCAACACATTGTAATGAGGTGTAATCAGACAAAGGGTAACATAGGACTGCAGCAGAGTTTGGGCTGTTGTGAAGATTTAGTTCAGCAGTAATGAAAGTGATGGAAAACTTTCTGGAAAATGAGGTTCTGTACTGACTTTCCCTACTAACTTACACAGCTTGGTAACTCACAGATTTGTGACATTCTCCTGATGGTGCAGACAAGTCAGAGACACCTGTCAGTTCATGCTGAATGAAGGAGAGACACCAATAGGTTCACAACCTCTTTCTAAGGTCTCCAAGTTAAAGAGTATGATCAGACAAGAATTTTCCCAATAAGGAACAGAGGAGTGCAGTTTAGATTTAAGCTGACCGACCATAACCCTCATAGCAGACCAAGATTTCTGGTGAACCCGTCTTCTCCCTTGGCTTCCAAGAGAGCCCTACTGGGAACTACTGAGTGGGAGGTGTTTCCAATGGGAACAGTACGTGGTTGGAGTTAGATACCTCTGTATAAGTTACTTACCATGACTGATTACATATTTGTTTGATTAATAATGTAGTACTTTTCCCCCCTTTTCACCATTCTTCCTGGGAGCAGAATTAATGACATCCCATTGCGTGTCAAAGTAAAAAAAACCTCATCACCACTGTGTTAATAATTGCAAGGAAAGAACACACCATTGCTTCAAAATCTATCCCTAGATCAGTAATTACCAGACTAGTAGCCATGAGCCACAAGATGTTCTCCAGAAAGAGTTATCAGTGGGTCATGACCTCAGAAGAAATTCTTTTTCATCCTGTAGTAACACCTGGTATTTTGTGTTGCACAATATAATGCATTAGTAAATGGGGTCAAAACCGGAAAAAAATGTGAACTGTTGTTCTACATGTTATCAAATCTAACACAAAGCTGTATTGCAACAAGCCAGCACAGACTATTATGTATTTTTCCAAATACAGTACAAAACAAGAGAGAGGAAAAGGTTAAGATAACAGAATGAGGTAGTAATACCTTCAGGATATGTTGCATAAGTGATGAATGAATTTGGTCAAGTGGGGAGTCTGAACAATGTAGGCATCCATATATTCAGACTTACCTCTGAACTAAACTCTAAACTCTTCTTGAATTATATCTGAATTGGGTAATCTCATAGAAACAGGCAGTTATCAAATTCCTGATAGCACTAAACAATATCTAACCAAAAAATTCTTCAAGACTTTAATAACTTCTGCATCATATCCAACCAAAAACCAGAAAATTTAAAATTCCAGCATACTAAATGAATTATTAACAAAATAAATTTAACAAAATAAATTGTTTTACTTTAAATGTTTTGGTTTAGTCTAATGCTGGAGATTTAGCTTTCATTGAGTGCCTCTCCTTTATGAATTACACTGTATCTGTTCTCCTGAAGCACAAAGTCAATGCAAAAAAACCTTACTTCAGAAGTTAATTACCAGCTCCAGTTATAAACCAGAGCGAATTATTGCTTCTTTCCAGTGATTGACTGTGATGTTCAGAAGCAGAGCTACAGTGACCCAGCCTAGTACTTTTGCTCATACTGAGTGACACGAGAAAGGAGATCTCTTTAGTGAGAAGGCAAAGCCAAGGCATAAGGAAGAAGTGGTGTTTGTGTGCTCACCATCAGCAGGTTTGAACTCCAAGACTGTTGCTTCTTCAGATCCATCTTCTCTGCTCTCCTTGATGCTCTCCACTTCACACCAAAAGTCCTCCATGGAAGTGCTGTCCATGGAGGCCTGGGAATTGGAGCGACTGAATGTAGGAGGAGGTGCTGACTCATTTGAAAGCATCCTGTTAATTCTTCGACAACGAGAGAGGGACTTTCTGAAGAGACAGTAATACAAATAAAATTACTTTTCTATCATGCTAACTTGTGCCATGGAGATGGAGCAGGCAACTAGGGCTTCACCTGTGACTGTACCAGGGAGGAAGGAACAAGATTTCAGAGACTAAGTAAACAGTTCTAGTAATTGTAATGACCTCTGTTGCTCAGAACAATTATGGGTAGACATTTATTTTGCATCTAATAATTTATCTATTTAATGTTTAGTGTTTCTCACTGTAGAGAGGGACGCAGGAGATGAAATTTCTATTTGTAATACTGATATCCATCTAATGACACGCTGGAAAACTATTTTAACTTTTTTATACCTCAGTTTCTCTTTCTATCCCTTCTTGTTTTGCTGGCTGGCTGAAATTTTTCAGTGAAAACTCTGGGGAAAAATAATGAGACTTAGGAACCCTGAAATATTTTATAAACTTATACTGGCTCCAGAAAACAATTCAAAACTTGAAATACTTTAATTCAGAGAAATCATTGCCTTTTATTTGAAAATATTAAAAAAAAATAAAAAAATATTTTAAAATATTTCTTTTTTTTTTCTTAAATTAAGCTAAAATAGAAAAAAATTTAACAAAATTTGTCTTTGAATTGAAATAGTATATTCTGGGTCAGACAGAAGGCTTTGATCACAGGTTCAAAAAATTATGATTCACTAAAAATGAAGTTTAAACCTAAGATTCAATACAGTGATTGAATTAAAACAAAGTTTGTTCCTTACTCTTTTGTTCTGGTCTTTTCCCACTGTAAGTACTTGCAGCTGAAGACAGTTATATAAGTTAATTCAAAATTTAATACAACATCCACCATGAAAGTCTCATCTGACTTTGCTTTTTTACATTATTATGGCTGCAATACTGTAAACAGCTTTTGTAAGTATAATTGTAGTAGATACAGTAATCAGTAATAATAACCACAACAGTATTTGTACAAAAGAGTTAGGAAGTAACACAATTATGGCAGAGAGCTAGACTACAGGAATTAATGGAAAGTTCTGTCATAAGGTCTTCTGGCCTTCGCTTATCTGAATTAATTGAAATGTAGTTTCCCTTTCTCTTCCTTTTCTGCATTCTCTTTCCCTTTCTCCATTCTGCCAACACGCCTTTGTTTAAAAACACAGGCAACACTTTTACTCCACTAAAAAAAAAATAAATCTTTCCTTTTCAGTATTTCCCTCCATGTCAAAGTTTTGGTAATGGATGTATACAGAATATGTTATTTAATAAAGCTGACCAAGCATGCTTTTTCCTCTTTGTGCTGCTGCCTCTGCTTCATCCTTCCTTGCCAGTGAAGGGCTAGCTGCTTTCTTGGGGCTCTTGCAGCACCCTTGCTCTATCTGAGTGGTTCCTTCTGGGCTAGGTCTGAGCCCCAGGTTAGGGAGCTGTGGTAGAAACAACGGAGCACATCAAATCCAGCTTTGGATGTGATCAGGCTTTATAAAAGTTAAAGCTCAGGCCTTTGCCTTTTTCTGAACACATGCAGCTGTTATATGGATGATTCAGTTGCCAAAACTGCCCATGTTCTCTTGGAGAGCTGCTGAGAAGCAAAGCTTTGTGATGGGTGACAACACTGCAGGAGAAAATGTGCTATGGGACTGTGGAGACATGTACTCCAGGCAGAGAAGTGCTACCTTCACTGTTTTTCTCCTTTTTCCCCCTTATAAACAGAAAATGATTGTTTACTTTAAAACACAGTGGTGAAACTGTTACTGTTTTAATTAGAACAAGCCACAGTCACCAAATCTGAGAGGAATTTGTGACACAACTGTGGTTAAAGCTATTTGAGTGTTTTCCACATAGCTTTCCCTCTGGGGAGATGTGTTTCAGTCGGCTTTTGTTTGCAAAGCCTCAGATGACTAGGGTACCCGATAAATTATAATCACTGGGATTATGTATTCTGGATGTGTCAGCCTCTGGTTTCTTATGGGTTTCCCTTTCTTTTATGGATTCAACTGTCTCTCTTCCCTGCGTCAGCAAGTAAGAAAAAAATGCATGTCTCACTATCATGACCTAACTATCATGAGTTAATACTGTACCAAGCGTCCCCAAGCAGAGGTTTTAACCAGCAGAAACACAAACCCTGAGAAGCAGCCAGAAAACCCCATCTCTTCAGCTGGGAGCTGGCAGGGGGATGGGGGAAACAGCTACCACTGACCAACTACTTGCTGCTGTGAAAAGCTGAGCTCTTTTGTTAAAAAGGTGATAGTGAACACAAATAAGGAAAAAGGCAAAACTTCCTGGCACTCTAATGGCGTTTGGGGCCCCTGTTCTTTGGACATTGTGAGAGCAGAGGAGACAGCCCAGCCCGGTGCCTATCCTCCTCCTGCAGCCTGCCCCTCACCAGCCTCCGCTTCAGCTCAGGGCTCTGCCTGAAACCCCCACACTGCTGCCCACTGAGAAATTCATGGCCCTACTTAATATAAACCTTTGTGAAAAATAAGTTCCTACATGTGCTATATAGCACAGCCCGTAGATCCCAAGCCAGCAATTGCAGTAAGGAACACTCTCACCAGTCTGGAATCAAACATGTGCTAGGAGGAGAAAAGGGCAGCTCTGATAGCATCATTGGGTCCTATAATTTAATCATAGTCAGAGAATTTAAACATTTCCTGCCCTTCCAGTGTGAATCTTGACCATGACCCTGCTCCTTGGGCCTCGACTCCATCACCACTTCAGCTGGCTTGAACCAAGGCTTTTTATTTCACCATATTAGGAAGAAAGAGGCTTGGTGGGTTGCTGCTTTTCTCCCCACAGCGAGTATGCTTATTTTGTAATACTACCGTACCAAAAAGCTAAATGCAAAACAGACCATGTAGCACGGCAACAACTGCTGTGGCAACCAGCTTTACCAAATACATCTAAGGTTCCTGGGTAATTAATGTGCATTTACAACAATATTAAAGTACAGAGCTTATTTGGAAAATCAGCTGAACAAAGTCTCCTGAGAACTTCATCTATGAGGCTTGTTATCTCAACCTGGATTAAATCAAGCTGTGTAAAATTTCTGTAATGAGAAAGGTTAGGCAGAGGTGCTTAATCCTTATTGGTAAACATCTGAAGCTTGCTTCCAGGTGGTCTGGTACAAACTTTCTTCAATTATTGTCAGTCTGCCTATTAAAAGTTCATCTGTTTGAAAGACCTCCAGCTGCTGTTTTGACCCATATACCTGTGACTCTTGTCCTGGAGGAAGTGGTCTTGCCTTTATGTGATAATGGCAGTTGTCTCCCATTTCCTCCAGCCAAAGATGGTCAAAACAGTTTCAGGAAAAAAAAGTCCTACTGAGGAAGCAAAGCATATTCTTCACTGCTCTTAATTAATTCTTGAAGGACACTAAATGCCCACTGACTCAGCAATCAGCCTGCCTGTCCCAGAAATAGTTCAAGAAGCCCAGGCTGCCTGTTAACTGGGAACTCTCACAGTAGAAAACTTCTGTTCCTGACACCTTTTCCACCTTCAAACCATTCTGTCTCATTTGCTCTTTTTTTTCTCAGTGTCTGTACAGAAGTTTAGAACAATAAAAAGTTTTCACTAAGCTGATTCTGAAAAAGCTACCTATAGAAAAGCTGAAAACCAGTCTTGTTAAGTAAGTAGCAATCAAAAAGCTCATGCTCAGTTTCTTTTGTTCACACACATGGGTAGTGGTGAACTAATCTGAAACACTGACTAAATTAAACACAGGAGGGATCTCAGATCCTGGCTTACTAGATGGAAAGAGCTGGGAGAGAAGTATGAATCTAAAAGCACTGAGGAACAATTATAGCAACTCCACTGAATGAGCTGAAATTGTTTTCAGGGTGGAATAAAAAAAAAGGAGAAAGGGTTAAAGACTGCCAGTAAGGAGAAATATGATGATATAATTTAGAAAGCTTTCTGCGGAAAGATTTTTGCAAGGAAGCAGGGTATTTCCATGGGCACAAGGAGACTGATTCAACTGTGTGTGACTGGTTTTGGTCTGGTGTACGTTTAGAATTCTGATGAAATGCAACAGCAAAGCAGGCCTACTGACCCTAAATTTTATCTTCCATATGTAGTGCAGAAGTGTGCTGTTCAGGATCTGATACCACACATTGATTTCAGGATAGCCAAGCCAGATCCAATAAGCTATTCTTATCCTATCTCCAAAATAAAAGTCTGTCAAACCACATGAAGAGCTGGCTCAGTGACATCTAATGATTGCTCACAGGCTCAGTAATGATAAAGCCAGGCTTCTGCTTTGAGTTCAATTAAGTAATGGATAGTAAAGAATCCATAAAACAAATAGGAGCAATAAAGTCATCTTGTAGTTAAAACTAGCACTTAATCCTTGTTTACAGAGAGAGACAGGACATGTTACTTTTGTGGGCTGTTATACTTCATTTAATTTGGTGGGTCCTGAACCTGCTTCACCACAATTAATCACATTTATAGGAATGAGGAAGATGAAGGAAGCATTATAGGATGAAAATCCACCTTTTCACATTGCAATCATTCTGGCAGTATAAACACTTGCTCAGCTCTTCTCAAATGTAAAAAAGAGGATGGTAGGTTGCATTGACAAGGAAACAACATTTATTCTTCTTTATTAAGAATTGTTCTGAATTGTTAGGAAGCAGTCATGTACCATTATTTATCTTCCTTTTAAATAAAATGTATACAAATTCCAGGCAGAGTCCAGCAATGGGAAATAGTATTTTTGTGCACAGTTCACTGCACAGTTCACCCTTGCCCCAAATCTCTCACCTTCTGGTTCCTTCCTGGAGACCCTATACTGTTTGCTGTCTGCTTATTTCCTTCTCTCCATGCTCGGTGGCTTCTGATCACAGAGAGGGGTATACATCAGACAACATTTAACCCCCTAATCCATCTATACCTTCTGTTTCTGATTATCTCACAAATGTTAGGCAAATTGTATACAGTAGATCCTAAAGTTTCCCAGTCCTTTCTCTAACATCTAGCATAGCAAATATTTAAACTATCAAGCCCACTGATTTCACAGAGCTGTCACT